GCCCAGGCGCCCACTCCCGATTCGAACGGGTGGTCTTTTGCGACCAAGCAGCGTTTCAACTTGACCACAAATCAGGCCAGCGGGATCTGTGCAAGTGCATCTACCAATTCCCTTCAGTAATGTAAGGGGAATATCCATCGTAGCAGAGCAGACAATCAAAATGGAGAGTGACAAAAGATGAATCCACAAAGGTCCAGTTACTAGGCACACCAGGAATCGAACCCAAGGCGTGTGGCCTCAGCCCACTAGATGAGTTGCAGCAGCAACGTCCGAGCACTCACAACCCTCACACCGGGGGCAAAGTCCGAGGTATGTCATTTTGACATGCCTCGTATGCATGTGTCGACGCATGTCCCAACGGACAAGGAGTCTTGAAGGAGAACCATTGTGGGAGGTGTGACGGGTTTACCGGGCGCGGCGCGGCATTGCGGCAGGCACAATTTGGCATTGACTTGGCATGTATGTGACCTCAGTTAATACAATTCAGCAAGTTCATAGATGAGGAGGTGTAATCTTCCGTCCACGGGTGATGGCAGTCAGTCTTGCGGATCAACACGAGTACGACCCAATTGTGACGGCCGTTTTCTGAGGAGCCGGAAGCTAAAGCAAGCACCGCTCGGCATTCAAGTCTTTGGATCTGGATCAGCGCTGCCATTGACTCGGCCAACAGCCGTCAGCCTCGGGAAACCCTGGTCTTGATCATGGGTGTCCCGAGCATGGCAATTGGTTGTGTGGAATGGTTTCCAGTTGAAAGTGAACAGGCCCTACGCTCCTTCAGATTTCAAGCAACTCGAGTTCAACATGCCGTTCTCCCCAAGTGCTCCCAACGCAATCAATTCAACCCGATATAATTGGGAAATTGCTCACCACCTCTGACACCTTTCTTCCAAGGGAATAACCACCGGATCAGCATCGGCGATCACTGGGTATGATCGTGACACCCCTTGTACTTTAGCACCATGCGTGGAGACATGCGTCGAGACATGCATACGAGGCATGTCAAAACGACATGCGTCGGACTTCGCCCCCGGTGTCAGCGTGCAACTACTTACCTATATGTTCCTATACTCATGATTAAACCCGCTCACCCTCACTCAAGGACTATAACGATTGTTCGCTAGGCTCTTTCGAAATTTCATAGCCACGACAAATGCGGTTTGAAGCATCGCTTGCTGAATTTCCGACTCTTGAGGCGCCCGCATTCACTAACATAGTGTATATCAACTTGACCAAAAAAAACAGACCAGCCTGGCAGCGAGCCAAGCGAGGTAAACTGATTTGTGCATTCAAAAAGTTCTACTTTAAACACCTTGGATGCCCGCTCCCGACTTGAACGGGGGTCTTCTGCGACCAAAGGCGTCAGGCCGCTGAAGCAGCGTTGCAACTTGACCACAAACCAGGCCAGCGGGATCCATCAAAATTCATCCAACCAAGTTCTGTAGGGGGACATCCATGGCAGCAGACACTAAAACGGAGAGTGCCAAAAATGAACCCTCCGGCCCCCAGCTCAGCTCACTAGGCACACTACACGAAACTTGGGTCTATTCCAGGATCCGTACCTCGTGAACTCCCGCTATAAAACATAATTGCGTATCGCAGTACTCCCGAACAGTCAAATTTTTGGCGCCCAGCGGGAGATGCACGGTTGCACCGCGTAAAACTCATCGGAACGGTCACCGCAATTCTCTTATTTTCCCTTCCCACTCGAAAATCCATAACCCCAACGCTGATCAGACTCTGGTACTCCAATAGCGTGCCACGGGAATGATCATGAACAACTCCGGACTCGACGATTTCAGTTGTCCTTGTAGACAGTCTAATTTTCACTCGCCTTCCCTCACCGACGGAACGAACAATTCGAACAACCTCCCGTGTTGAATGACGAGAACTCACGCGCCAGGCGCCACGGGATCCCATCCGAGTCCGAACAACTCCGTCTGAGGTGGGTTGTGATGCCAGCTGAAGATCTACATACTGAAAACCTTGGGTGAAATTGTCGCGACTCGTCCAGATCTACTCCAGGATGGTTATGTACACCGGGGAAAATTCCGCACGCCCTAACCTCAACGAACTTCCTTTTTCCTTTGGCTGAACAAAGCAGCAAATAAGTGTGCGTAAGACATCATTGCATAATTGCGATCGCAGTAAAGCAATTCCCGAACAGTCATAATTCAGCCGCTCAGCGCCCAGCGGGAGATGCACCTCTTTAGTTCCGGTAAAATTACTTACCTTCAAACGACCGCTCCCACGACAATTTCCCTCCCTTCCCTCCCTACTCAACAATTCATGGGCCCCACCGAGCAGACTACTCGTCCTATACGCTGGACGATTCTCATCGAGAGCTTCCTCCCTTCATACTACTCCATCTGCCTGTATCCCATCATCCTCGTCGCCATACCCACGCTACCCCCTGCGACATCGACCGCTGTGTGGATCGTGGTCCCATTATGGCTGGTCAACAAATGCATGCAGACCTTCGCCGCCCTCTGCTTCCTCTCCCTCCTGGTCCTGGTATATATTTGCGCCATCAGCTGGCCGCTACACCTGTGCCCACGCGGATGCCCCGGCGCCCACCCAACTCGAGGGCGGTACGGGCAGCACTCCGACCACGACGGAGACTCCGACTCTGCTGGTCCTCACCCTCCGCACGCTCGTCGACTTTGTACTCAACCTCGCCGTCGTGGCGACCTACACCCTCTCTCGTGGTGTACTCTCATTTGAGAGCCCCGCACTGGCCAACGGGGCCGCGGCGGGTGCATTTGTTCTCCACGGACTCGCCGTCCTTGGGGTATCATTCATCGGGGCTCGCACTCTGAGTGTGTCGACGTCCGGGGTTGAGAAGCCACGGCACGAGGTGCTCGACGCGGGGCTGGGGGAGGCTCCGCTGTCGAAGGAAGAGAAGGAGTATATGGGTGAAATTCCAAGCCTGTGAGCCTCGGGCTGGTTGGAGGCGAAGTTTCGAGATCGGTCGGCTGGATGGTGTAGAGGGGAACTAGGAGTTTCTCGTACGTACATATGGGATCGATCGACACGCGCAGAGTTTTGGAGTAAAGTACTGCACGAAGGTCTCCTGATAATTGAAGCTGTGGACAAGTGCGGGTAGATCGATAAGCGCAGATTGAGACTGGAACTGTGCCACTAACCTAAACCGATAATTCAAAACTGAGGCAACAGTGTGAGTTCTCATGATGAGCGAGCAGAATATTAGGTAGAATATACGATGCACACAGGCAACTAGAGCATAAGAGAGATGTGAATGAAATCTGTCCCGTATCATTAGTCAGGGATTGTGAAGCGAGTCGACGGGGAAAGAGCTCACGTACTGTTTGACAGAAGATAATTATCCCTCCCGATCGCCATCCCTCTGCGTCCAATATTGTTCTTCGGCACGTATACTGCGCAGTAAAGGCAGCGCGTCACAGACACTCTTTGTCCATTGGTCTTGCAATGCCGCAGCATCGGGGTCTCTGACCCGTCGATACGACACGGATTCCAGCTTCGGGAACAAGCCCGATAAGAAGCCGGCAATGGCCAGCGGGGGACCAACCGGCGAGTCCGAAAGGTTCAGCATCGTGAGGGCCTTTTGGTGCGGGCGGGTCCGCTCCGGTTTCTGATCCTGCCATTGAGGTATGAGGGTCGCATCGAATCGCATCTGACGAGGTGGACTCGATGTAGAGGTACAGTAAGCGTGGCCAGGCAGACGCAAGACGAGCAATTGACCCGTCATCAAGATCGAGGCCGACGGGCCCAGACAAACAGACGTTGGTGAGATCGCCGAAGGCGAAAAGTGGGGAGAGAGAGATCGCCGAAATGGCGTGAAGAGTGATTTGCGCTGGAGTGGCGGCAACATCGAGCGTTGCAGGGGAGTTTTCGCATGTGATGGAAAGCGCAGACAGCGGATGCTCTCGAAAGGCCATTGCTGCAGTGTTGTAGCACTGTGACACGTCTCTTGCGGGTGTTGTCGCGGGAAGTCTGATGCCCACGTCTCGGAGGAGAAGGTTTCGAAACCGTGAGAGAACTCCGGACACGGTAGAGGAGTCGGTGAAGAATACGGTGAATCTCTTCATAGGGGACCTGTGCTCGCATGGCTCCTCGGGAGGGAGGTCCAAGATACCAAGTCCCGATTGGGCCAGAAGCGTCAAGCATTGGAAGGTCGACTGCTGCGTGAGATGATTCAACGCAGGGCCATCGAGACAAGGAACGGTGAGATCATGAAGATTATTGAGCTGTCGTACGAGAAATGACAGGCTCTGGCATCGCCCATTCAGATCTGCATAACAATAAATGCATAGGGTTTCGAGCTGCGGTGACTGTGCAGCGAGAGCCGGCAACGATGACAGGTGGGAGAGTCAGGGTGCGCAATCGCGGACCCAAGAAGGACCGCAAGTATGTCAAGAGGACCTCATCGTTCTCGGAAGTCCAGTTCATCGATTGAAGATTGGGAAATAATGGTTCGCCTGGCAGACACATTTGTAACGTCTCGTAGAAGAGACGCCCATATTGTACATCGAGGGAGTTGTCGAAACGTTTGACACGGCGCGCATAGAAAAACGGACGCTCCCAGTCTGTCGGTATGATAGGTCTCTGCAGTTCCTGCCACTCGTCATGAGTGCTCCAAATCTCGAGGATAGGGCCAATGTACGCACCACCGCCATTTCATTCTCATCTGGTCACTTCCATATATCTCCAGGCATGCATTTGAGAACGTTGACAACCGTGGATTGGGAGCTCCAAAGAACGTCAAGCGCAGGGTCTTGGAATGCTTTAGAGGTTCTTGCCAGGGAGGCAAGAGTGTCCCAGTTGAACTCGTAATCCTCCAAATACACCCCGCTTCGCATATCATCGACACGAGTTCAGGGATGCAGAACGCACGACATGGTGGAGAAGGAAGAGAGAGATCTTGGAGAGATCTGATGGAATATGTAATCGCGTGATCGCTTGGCGAGCTGAAATGCAGCTGGGACTTACCTGTAAGGCTCAGTGAGGCTCGTTCATCGTCAGGCGCGATGGCCGAGTGGTTAAGGCGACAGATTAGAATATCTTGGTGTACCAACTCACGCTATATCTGTTTCGGTTTCCGAGCGCAGGTTCAAGTCCTGCTCGCGTCGTTCTTTTGCCGCTACTCACTTTATTTCATTTGGGTGATCAACCTAGCCTCTCATTTTTGACCCACCTCTCCTATCTCTCGTGTGCCTCCAATCCGCCAATTGGCCGCCTAGCTCACTAATATTTGGGTCATCATCTGCTCTGGATTACGCGAAGGTCTTGGGTTTGACCCCACGATGGCCATGAAACTCTTCTTCCCTCTTTTTTTTTGGCGCGGCCGCTCATCGCCTCGATTCACCCTTCGTACCTCACTCGTCTTTCCAGCATCCCACAGTGGTTCACTCACTCCGCCGTCATCCCAGCTGTGAACGCTCACCCGAAATCGGGCGCAACCTATGTGTATACCGGTGTACATGGCTCGCCAATTCAAATCTTAATCGCACCCTTCCCAGGTCCGTCCCCGACATTCGAGAGCCTCCACGCGGGTACCAGGGGCGTGATGACGACTGGCACGAGCTCGGAGCCGTGTAAAGAGCGGGCGCGGTGGTACGTCGCGTAGGCTGATGCCAGCACTGGGAGAGAAACAAACAAAAGGCTTGAGCTTCAAGCTGAGGGACTAAAGGAAGGCAAAGGAAGGGAACGCACGGCCAGCCACGAGGAACCATGAGAGTACGTTTACGGTCGTGAACATCCCGCACGAGAGACGATTTTGGTAGTAACCATCGCATGCGCTGTGGTTTTCGAGCCGAAGGCCCACGATGAATGCTGCGAAAAAAAAACTTGAGATTCGATTGAGGGAAAGGAGGTCTAGGACCTACGGATCCAAGATAGGCCGAGTGCGAGGAGGATGCGAATTTGAACAGTGGTACGACTGAGGACGTGCCGCTGGTGTTGAGCTCCCATAAACAATCTGCAACGACCCAAGTGTCAACGGCGAGACTGAATAAATTGAGTGTGGTTGGGACTCACAACAACCCAAGCGCCGCGAATGTCACGATCAACCAGAGTGCGACGAAGAGCACCAGAACGCCTTTGCTCGGCGTCAATCAGATGTGTGAGAAGGAAATACAGGGTGAAGGACGCACTTGGTGAGAGGAACCGTCTGGCTGCAGCCATGTGGACTACGGAGAAGGAGAATAACAGGATCGTGAAGAGCAGTGCACCTGGGCGGGATGTATTTAGACAGGTTGCTCGAATGCGCTGCGGAGTCCAACACACCTGAGATGCAAATAATCCGAGAGTTCCATGGCTTCCTCCTAGCGCCCACTCCCTCAACGTCGAGGCCATGTGGAGTCTCCAACTCGGAAGAACACCGCACACAAAAGTCGTGGTGCTTGTGAGAGGTCGAACTGGAAGAGGATTCGGGAGAGGTAACCGTCAGGCTCGTGTCACTGGTGTCTTCATAGCATGGAGGCGCCCCGCTGTCGGCTTTGCTAGCGTTGTCAAGCAGCATTCGAGGGAGATGGGAGATGGGTATCAGCCCGAACCGCTGATGGTGACCGCTGTTAAATGCCTGTGAGGGTGGCAGTGCGCGCAGTCGTGATGCGAACATGGCCGTGTACTTCAAGTTCGGAATCTTTTGCAATTGTTTCTGATGTTACATACTTTACAAACGAAGCACAGGATCCTTGATGCCTTGACGCCGAAACGAGTCCGCCAACAGTGCTCGCATATTCCCAACAACGTCCTGGTTCGGCCCGAAAAATCCATCCTGCTGGATATCGCCCCTGCACAAATCCGCATTGAACCCTCTTCTCACACTGTGCCAAGAAATCATACTCACCAATGAAACGTATGGAACGAATCGACCTCGTAGCCTTCTTCCCACTTTTGTCGCACGTAGCTCGTGTTCAAAGGCGGTTCCGTCTTCCACCAGTGATCCACGAACGCAATGTCCTCGTCGACGGGGAGGATGAGGTGCATTGTCGTCGGGACGACCTGGGAAACATCAGTCAATCAAGATTGAACGACAACAGCGGGGATTTGGAGTCGATTCTCACGATTTCGAGAAAACATTCCGTCATCAAGAACGTGCCGAGTGTATCGAGAAAGTCGGCACGGAGGTGAGCGGGGAGGTACACCGTATCCGCCGAGCCTGAAAGCAGACGTCCGGGCGCACCGACGAGTCCTTCGAATCGCTGACGCATCCGGTGTGGAAGCCTGTCGTATGCCTGCATGCATACTTGCATACCGACGTGTCTTTCTCCCCACCTTCCGAGAAGAAGGATCAGTCAAGATGCGAGAAGGAGAAATGATGGAATTCACCATCCATGCCACCCCGCCCCCCACGCTATACTCTCTTCCAGATACTCCTCGGCCGTACGCTCGGAAATCATCGGCCCCGGCGGATGCATCTTCTCATCCTGCACTCCATCTACAGCCGAATTTGGCACATACCTCCGCACACTCTCAAAAGGTGTATGGTACCAAATTCGATCTTGTGGAAACTGCATAAGACGCGGGACGTTGAGGAGGGCGTCGAATGGTGCGATGAGGTACCCCCCGGAGTAGCAGGGGTGGTCTTTCACTGCGGTGTAGGTCATGTGGTGGGCCTGTGAGTGGCGATTTAGTTGGGAGAGGGGGAGGGACGGAGGGGAACGAAGGACACACCATCCGCCCGCTCAGCTTGATCCACCCCGCGTCGTAATCGTCTCCCGCCATATAGGAATCCAAAACGACGTCGTACGAATGCGCAAATCCACGATCTTCCCTACTCGCCGGGCCTATGAATAATATCTGGTTGCCAGTGAATCCGATAAAATGAAGGGACGGAGGGAGCGGACGCACATTTGGAAAATATGCCGAATAAACCTGACGATAGCTATCCAAATTCACATCATACCGGTCATGGCTGAAGAACACCACCAGCAACACGTCGTCGAACGCGTGAAAGTCGGGTCTTTCTTCGCCAGCGCCGAGGTATGCTGAGGAAGAGGGGAGCGGGCGGCGGATGCATTGTTCGCCCGGGCCCAGCGCAGAGGGAGTCGCTGTAGCGGCAGCTTCGAGCTGATGTGGCAGGGGCTCTGTGAGTCGGGCGTACGGTGTGCTGGGAGAATGGGAGATGCGATACATGGGGCTGCACGTGAGGATGAGGAGGAATGGTGCGAGCGTGAGCCCCAGGAATGCGAAGCTACGTCGAGAAAGCTGCGTTGGGACGGCGAGGGTAGGCATATCCTCCCCCTTCTCCGCCCCTTCAAGCAGGTACGTCGACGCAGCATACACAGCGAGGACCGTCCCTATCCACTGCAGATTCGTGAATCCAATCGTGGACCACAAGATTTTGTGAGTGAGCGCGGGGAGGAGGGATGCGCTGACGAGGGAGAGGACGGTGAATGTCAACGGGGAGGAGGTTTCACGGATGACTGCGAGCGCAGTAAAGTCGCGGAAGACGTGTAATATGATGACAACTATGGATGCGGCGAGGTCGCGAGGATGGGCGTCCAAGCGCACGGTGGGGTCGTTGGGCTGAATGATGAGGTATGTAAGGATGTACCCGATGAAGCAGGTGGTGAAGAGAACGAGGTTCATCGCGTGGACGGAGACGGTGCGCGGCGTCATTTGGTAAATGGTAGAGACAACGACCAGGATGATTGAGGTTATCCCACAAAGGAGGAGTAAGAAAGCGTATGTCCCCGCGGTATAATGCGGGGTTTTTGAGGCGTAGTGGATTAGTAGGCCCGCTGCCACCTGGAGGTAGAGTCAATTTCGACTCTGGAGGAGGAAGAAGGAAGACTCGCCTGCAGCAATGCACTCGTCCACTGTCGCCTCGGCGTAGTCCGGCCCATGAATATCGAGCTATGCATCCCGACGAACAAGATGAGGAGCCCGTCAAAGACGTCTAGCGTGCGTTGGTTGGCGTACAGCCGCCGAATGAGGGTCTATCCATAACTGTAAGGAAAAGAGATCGATCGTGTGGTGGCAGACGCACCAAGTGATGTCGCAAGACAATCAGCGCTGCGACGAGAACCAACAGCCCGGAAACGTGTCTCGGCAGGGCGGGGTTGCTTCGACGAGGCGCCTGCGTCGTGAGGTCCCCGGATTCCAGGCCGTCGCCCTCGTCCTCTTCCAGCGTATGCAACGGGAGCGTCTCTTCGGGGAACCGTTTATGCGGCCTACTTGCCCCACGCATGACACTCGACGGACGGGAGTCGCGGTAGAGCAGCCCGATCGCGACGACGGCCTTGGTGAATTCGACGACGATCATGAGGGAGAGAGGCAGCTCGTGTCGACATGGATGTGCGTCCTCCCTGAACCCCGCTTGTATCAGCCCGAGAGTGGTTTGTGTGCCGACGAAGGACGCCTGACGACGCTTCTCTGAGCTGATTCCAGGATGTCGGGAACTAGGGACGTACCAGGAGGGGCACAGGGTACCCAGTATCCTTGTAGAAGAATAGGAATCGCCGCAGGGAGGATTTTTCCAGGGCCATGGATGGGGAGGAGGAAGGGAAGAGTGAAAATACGGGCGAGACCGCCATTTCCAAGCTCATCTACTTAAAAAAGAAGATACACCGCAGCAGCCCACAGCCTGGTCCGGCACCAAAAACCTGGGAACACAAACACGATTCAAAGTTATGTACTGTATTGAATGTGATACAGTATTCCTCACCGCCCGGAAATTCCGGTAACTTCGATGCCACTGCGTCGTCTGGAAAATGAATGGCTTGAGGAGAGGAAAGAGCTTGTCCTTGGCGAGCGGAGTGGAAGATAGCAATAACGACCACAGCCTCGTTGTGCTCTAACGGCGTCCCTTGTAGATATTCTGGAAATTTTGATCGACAAGCCTTCCCGCTGCGGTCAGTCAGGATCCGAAGGTACTTTGTGCGGGTGTTGCTCTTAGTCACTACCCCAGTTTTCGGGTACGTTGAGCCATCCTGAGAGCCTCAGAACCTTTGCAGCTGCGCGGGAAGAAGATCTTGAGGCCCAAATTACCGGTTATTAGATCGCAGCAGGCAGGATAACGAAACGCCCGCGGAAATATCAGCGGATACCTCTGCAGCAGAAGAGGCAGCAGCTGGTACGCACCGGAATTCCGTCGCAAACTGTCTCTCATTGTTACTTACTG